GGGAGGGAGGAGGGAAGGATGAATGGGAAGGCCACCGGGCAAAAAGAGATGGAGAGAGCAAGAAAGTGCTTTAGAGTCAATTAAAGCACCTTAAGTGGTTCTTAATGTGGTCATGTGAACAGGGTTTTGTGTTTTTTGTCTTATTTTGGACTCACATTTCTTATCTTGGGGAGGAACTTAATCTAAAAGGACACGAGGAGGGGTTTTCATGGAAATCTGACATATATTTTGTGTGAATAGCTAGCTTAACGTGTTTCCTCTCCTCATCATGATTGGATCAAAAGACTGAAATGTATGAGAATATATTCTGCAGGTTTCAGAGAGAGACAGAAAAGAACAAGCGTGCATTCAAATGTGAACCTTGCATCAAAATGTATTTTTTTAAATACTTAAAAAAGTTATTCAGTGGCTTTACCCCAAACTGTGCACACTCCATCGCCTGGTGTCCTAACAGATCACTGCGCACATGAGCCCCATTTAGTTATTTATGTCGGGAGGTTTTGGTGGTGTTGCCCGAGACAAATAAATATATGTTTGCAGGCCACCGTCGCTCGCCACTAACCCGAGGCACCAGTTGCACGGTAGACGGTCCTAATAGGGCTTAATGCCGACGAGTGGCCCCGCGTTTACCGAGGGCTTGGAGCGGAGCAACAGATGCGCACTGATCTCCGGACAGGAGCCAGTCCATCTGCCGCCTGACGAGGCAGGGAAAAGGCCCGAAACCCCGCACAGTTCAGCCCAGAGGCAAGCATTTAGATCAGCCCCAAGGTTTCTGGATGGACCGCTGCTCCTGCAGAGACATGGGGGCCCTGGCGGTGCCACATTTCTAGAGAGAGTTAGGATATAAAGCAACATGGAGAGGCAGAAGATTAGGATCTGAGCTCATGTGGGCATGTGCCATTTGATAGGCTATCTTGTGCATTAAATGTACTTGTATTATTGTAACTTAAGAGAAAGAAATGTGTCATGTCAGAGAGAATTAAAGACAACAGTTCCCTTTAAATATAGAAATGGGGTAACACCTCTACCACTATATTTCTAGACGAATATTTTTCTAAAAACGAATTATACTTTTTTGTCACTTTTGATTACATATAATACCAAACAAAGGGACTTGCAGCTCAATGTTTATTCTTTAAAAAATCCACAGTTACACTTCATACAGGAAGTTCATTATGTAAAAAACAAAAACAAAACACACATTTCCCATGTTTCTAAGCGGGTTGTCACCCTATCTGTTGGATCAGCCCTGCTTGGTTTAAATGGTTTATTAGCAGACTACAACTTATTAATATCAGATCACTATAGCCTGCAGTCATTTAGTCTATACACACAGTAATCCTCTTATAGGCTTTAAAGCTTCTTTAAGTATATTTTCTCAGATTGTGACACTTGTAGTGATGATGCTTTGAGTGGGGATCCATGCTTACAGGGGTTATAATAATCTATAAAGGAGAGAGGTTTATGTTTATTTCTTTTTCGCGTTTTGCACGCCTCACATAAACTATTATAATCCTCTTAAGTCTGAAGTTAGAGCAGTTAGAAGAAAGGCATGCTGTCTGCTTCCTGTCTATGCGCACATGTGTTGGCCTTGTTTGTGAGTCTGTTGTGGTTTTTAATCAGCCCCGGGCAGACACCGGCCTCATATGGCCATAAAGCGTCCGTTAACCCGGTCCTGCAGCCTCTCTGTGTGTGTCTGTCTGTCTGTGTGTCTGTGTGTATAGGTCTGCACCTTTCCAGCCTAAATAACGACTGGCATAATGAAGAGCAACCATAACAAACGGCCCAGAAGATGTTTGTGTTTCTCCAACAGCAAAAGCAATTAAGAAAATGGTGTGTGACCTACATAAAGGATGCGCCTCGGAAGCAAGCACAGGTTAATATGCTAATATGGATCTGCTAATTGTGGGGATTTACTTGTCAGTTTGCGGAGGGGAGGGGCCGAGCGTCTCTGCCGCCGCCTTGTTTAAGCCTTCAAGATCTGCAGCAAATTAATTTCTCCCCATGCAGCGCGTGAGGTGAGGAGGAAACAGGTGGTGGCTGCTAGATGGACACTCAGGGAGAAACACATTAATAGAGATAGTTAGAGAGATCCTTTATTTACCCCAAGTTGGGAAATTGTTTTGTCACAGCATGCATTTGGACAGTCAACGTACAAGAATGACAAAATATCTTATAAATAGAATAACATACCAGTAAAGTCAACATCAACAACAACAAATATATACATATTCTCAGAAAATACATACATTTGGAGGAGTATACACTATATAATATACAGAAACAATTGGAATACTTTATAGATGGACATATCTATATATAGATAGATAGATGGATACTTTCTTTGGAATTAAGTACAAATAAAGCAAACATTACACATTACAAATTATATTTAAATGTTCTCAGAAAATACATATATTCAAAAGAGTATTTGCACTCTATAAAATATACATTCTAAGTTCTGTATTATACCAATCAGTCGCTTTTACTTAAAAATAAATATATGCTGCAATATGAAAGAAAGAAAAAAAAACACAACAAATCTGGACTTTATTCTCATATGTTCTTGCCTTTTATTCAGGGTTTTAAACAAATATGTATAATACATATACGTCCTGTCAAGTGCACACATCATATTAATTATTATCGCCCCAGGGTGACACCCCCCCTCTCACCCCGCCCACACACACACACACACACACACACACACACACACATACACACACAGGACGTTTGGCTGCTTCAAGGACCCTCCTTCTCTCTAGGAAACAATACTTTTCACGAAAAAAATACATCCA